ATTATAATTGAACTGTAAAAGCTTAATCATGGATTTTTATATTTTTTTCAACTGCACGTAAACCTTTGACACGTGTAAATGTGATATAGATGCCAAATATTGTTATATATTCTATGCATTAAAAAAAACGAGGGTCGTTGTACTCGGTATATTTTTATTAATAATTCATTTACTTGTTTACACGATCTGTAAAATGCAATAAATGTTTCGTTTTTTTAAGGGGCAGGTTAAATACAATAGTTAAAATTAATCAAGTGCTTGAATATTTATTGGGGTTTCAGATATAATAAATATTCACACAATGTTCACCTTAAATTTAATTAAAATGTAAACATTTCCAATTACTTAATAACTCCGAAGCGCTTCGTTATATTACATCAAAAAGATTACTACCAGACGCTGGAAATTCAAAAATGTAGTAATCTTTTTTTAAATTAAATTTTGATTTAGAAATAAAAATCTGCATGACTGTACCTACGTTGATGCACACAAAATACTTTCATATTATTATAATAACAGAACAAATATATGAACAATTTTTAAATACGCACTGCTGACCATATTAATAAGGGTATTTTTAACTAAGTATACGATGATTAAATTCATAATATAAAAAACACAATACATATAGCCATATAGTTAATAATCATAAAGTAAATCAATTCACTGCAATATCTTGCAGATCTTAAGCATTACAGTACAGTTATTATACAATATATTACAACATGTTATTCGTCTCTTTAAAATTAATGTTTTTAGTGAATAAATGTAATAGGCTACATTCTATTTCTATTTTTTTTTGTAACTAAAATATAAGACAAATTTGGTGGTTTCGTGAAATAAATCATTGTAAATATTCAAATATATAAAACAGGAAATAACCCAATATCGATTTTGTGTGGTTACATTACCTATCATGGACAACTATAATATAGCAGTGTCCATCCATCATCGTGCATCTATTGTACCAATTCGTGTGCATTATATACAATATACGTTTTAAACTATGAATCTTCTGAATGATCCATCAATGTCGACGGTTAGTGAGGCTGTGAAATGTATACGAAATGGTTAGGTTTATTAGACATACAACTGTTTATGATTTGTCTTTCATCACACCGAGTCTTAAGGTAGATAGTATATAATAGAGGTACACAATTAATTGTTATCATCATTTTTGTTATTACTTACATATTTTGTTCTGTAAATAACTTAAATTTTATGTTGAAGATTTATAGTTTAAATATCAATAATTTTTCTGAACAATTTAATAAAAGTAATTAGTTTTGATTAATCAATATTTAAATACACTGTTTGTACAGTCTACTGCCATGTGTTAGTATATTCATTTTTGTGGAACCATTATTTGGAATTTCAACTATAATTTGTATGATCTCTGTCGGTTTTTTACATATCTACTATAATACTAGGTATATGATGAGTTCATAGAGTAAAAATATTATTAACACAATAATACTTCTCAATATTTGTGAAGTAAAAATAATATTTTATTTATTTATTCATAACCTATTTACATAATTACGCAACTAATGTAATTTGTAAGTAGAAAAATAAAATATTTTGCCTCCATAGGCTTGAGTCGGAGACAATAGTTCTGAATAATTAATTATTATAATCTAATTACGTTTATGTATATTTTAAAAGAAAACAAATTGTGTTGGGCATTCAATTATAACAAAGGATACTTAATATATAAATTATAAATATAATATAACAAGTAATTTTAAGAATTCAGAATTACGTTGAATCCTTATCCATATTGCTGGAGGCCTGGAGATAAATTATGCACAACAACTAATGTTTATATTAAATGATATTGAATAATTATTTCACAATTTATTCTATGACAAGACACAGATCAATTAACAAAATTAAGACTTTATAGACTTACTACAAGTATAATTACAGTTATTTATAGATTTATCAAAAATATATTTTATATTACCAATGTACATTTTTATCATGGACTTTTATTAATTCATTGCATTCAATAATTTTGTTTTTCGAGATAGAAAAAGTCACAAAACATGTTTTTTATAGGTAATAGATTTTGAGAGACTTGCTATTGAACCATTTATTAATATTTAATACGAACCTTAGTATGTTTTCCTTTAAAGGAATGTTTTGATTTTTCAAGATCAGATATTAAAACAATAATGTATCATCTGTTAAACAGAATATCAAACCTTCACATTCCATATTTAATAAATCATTTATAATTAACAATAGCCCTAACACTAAGATAGTTCCTTGATAGACACCAAGTTTAAGAATTTTACTCACACTAAATAGGTATGTGATTAATTGATACTCGTTGGCAAAGATTTGTCAAAAAAAATTTCTAACATTATATTAGCTTTACCACGAATACCATAGTTATAAATTCATATTATGTATATCACAAGTTACACATTTTTTAACTACGAATTCCAATGTAACTACAGTCACATATTTTATTACATTCTGATTTAAAATTAATTTTGTATCGTTAATATAAAATCCATCAAGTCTTAAGTGTTTTGGACGAACTCGTCTACGAGGGATCTTTGAATTTTAAGGAATGCATCTTTTATTTTAAATCTATTTTTAAAAATGGCATTTCGAGTTTCGACATTTCACGTCTAAAAAATGGGACCAAATAGATACGCTGTACGTCATCTACAGACTGTACGTCTACATTAGTGAAATATAATAATATACAGTCCTAATTTCGCCCTATTTTTATTTCAATTACAAAGTTCATTAATTTTATGATTTAATTATGTGTCAATGCTTAAGCGTGTATAAATGTTTCCCAATTTATTTTTTTATGGATAATATATTATAATTGGATAGTAGGTAGAAAATTTAAGTAGGGAATTCTCGAATTCATATTTTAATATATTAATTTTTACTACCCATATATTTGTTACCATGATTTATACAACCATAAACATTAAAAATAATGTCCATTCATTAATTATAATGATAAACGAAAATCATAAAGCTTATTTTATGATTTACTATACTAGTTTCACATTGTAAATTGAAACGTATACCTGTAAAGTGTAAATATTATAAAGTATATCCAATTTACTTTATAGTTAACAATTGATATTATCAGTATTGTAATTTGTGTAACTTAAAATATGAGACTAATTGTTAGCGGTTTACCCCGAGGTTTAAAAATGTTCACAATTTTTTATAGGAATATTACCTATTAATACTAGTTTACAGTTATTTTTTTATTACATTTTTTTCTGACTTTCCCTTGTGTACTTTTAAAATGAAATAGCTTAAAAAGTATTAGATATTGGAACATAATTATAATCAACGACGAGTTAACAATAGTTCTGAACTATAAGAAAATCCATTACATAAAATATAGCACATTTTATATAGTAATATCAAAAAGGTGACACTGCGACAGCATAGTCGTGTAAAATAACTGACTACAGAAAAAGCCAAATTGGCTATTTATAGTAATTTAAATTTCATTTTTGAAAAGTATATTAATTTTAAACATACTGCATGAGATATTGATTAAATGTATGTTTTGTAGTCCTTATAAGCACTTGTATTGTATGGCAATATAATTAACATGAGATAAATAATTATGCTATACAATAGTTTTGAATATAGTAGAGACGTTATAGAACACATTATTCAGATTAAATTTGTTAAACATACATTTTTTTTGATGATATTTTTAGATAGTATTTATTTTTTTTTTTGGTATTAAGTATATACATTTCATAAAAAAAAAAAAATGTAACATAGTTAACGTTTTAAGAATATTATATTATGCAGTATATCATGTTAAAATGCATCGTAAATATTGCTATTTAAAATTTTTTTTAAATAAATAAAAAAAACCTTTTTGTAATGCTATTCATAACGGTATAACCCTCTATCCCAAGAGGATATCTGTACCGGTGGGAATGTGGGATATGTATTTTTTTTATTTAAATAAAAATAAAATCGATTAGGTATATGAATTATATATGATATATCTAAAAAAAAAAAACGGGTAAGTGGATGTCGCTCTGCTGTACAGTAGGGTTATAGTTATAGTTACAAGTGGGTCATTGTATTAAACTTGAATTCAATGATATATTCTACCATTGTATAAGAATAACTATTCTGAGCGGAGACGGTTTGTCAGTCTAAATATTTTATTTTGTCATTAATTATTATATTATGTAAGTTGAATTAATATTATAATATTATAATTTTTTTTCGTTTCTATGGTAATAGACAAAGCGTTAGAAATTAAAATCCAATTTTTAGCGATTTTTTTGTAATTTTCGTTGGTTTTTATTGTGGCATTAAATAACAATTGATAAATCGAAAAATCGAAAAATGACCTCTTTAAAGTACTATCTTGATCCAATTTGCTAAAAGATAAGGTACTATATGTTGAAATCCTTCAGGTAGAAATTTTGTATACAGGATATAAAAAGAAGAAAAAAAAAATTAACACCATTGTAAAACCACTAGCTTCCTCGCTCCGCTCAGAATCTAAAAACAGAATACTTGAGAAAAAACTCATACGTATTTACGTATGTCATAATATTTATAATATTAATAAAAACGATGAGAGTCAACATGATTACAATAATATTGTAAAACTTATTCGTATCGCGTGAAAAAATGTTGGCGGATTTGTTGTTTACGATAATAAAATGAGTATACACATTTTTATAATGTTCCTATTTTATAATATCTACCACTACTTTAATATACGATTCGAATCTGTTGGCGATATGGTGGTCTTGCAATATTGTGTGTTGTCTTTGTCATAGATGAGATGATTAATTACACTTGTTGATACGTGTGAAATATTCTTATAATGATGTATACTTTAAAATATATATTTAATTTAAAAAACGGTAATCACAGTTACCTATCATCACGAATTCCTCGATTGGAAACAATATATTATTGTTGTTTAAAAATTATTTTTTCATTATTATCATTATTATTTTCTAGACTTAATCATGACATCGCCCGCAGCATCACCACAAAAGCCAGCCATCACCAACTCGACCGCGTCTCCAGTCCGTTTGCCGAGCGTACAGCCGACTCCCACGCACAACTCGCAGCCCACCGCTGCACAGTCCGTCCAGGGAAAATGGCAGTGTGCTCTGAGGGACAACCCGGTGATCGCCAGCGGAACTATGGCTTGGACGAGAGTGTGGAGATTTTCCAAGCTCCTGTTGCAGACCGGATGTTAGAAAAATGCAACGACGGATTTTCACACTAAAACATTATTACTTTCTCTCTCTCTCTTTCACTCTCTACCTTTCTCTCTTTTTCCGCCGTGTCAGCAAAAAGACAACCTTTTTATTTTAGAATAAATCATAATATAGCCGTATGTATTATATATGTACGCATAATTTTCACTATAGTTCGGAGTAGTTATTATCGACGTGTATGTATAATATATGACTAATAATATAAGACTACGATAATGACACATGATATAATATTATATATTACTATTATATGGACTTAGTGTGATGTACGTTAAGTTAAAGAGGTTAGTTCATCTTATAATATCTAGTATATTGTCTGATCTACACCGTGGCGTATTGTATCGTGATCCCTACCCACATTGTCTCGTACCTATATGATAATATGTAGACTTACGCCACAAATTTTATTTGTTAACTCTCGAATTAACGATTTTTACTATTTATAGTAGTTGTTATTTTTTTTTTTTTTTTTAGAATTTCTTGATAATGTCGATTATTGTAATATGGCGTCAACCAAAGTTGGTTGTTTTTAATTGTTAAGTATTATTATATACATCCGAAATTCAATTCATTGATTGTAAATGTGTAACTGTTGTAATGTGTAAATGTATTTATATAGTACGCAAATATCAAGAAACATCTAATCATCTATATTTTGGGGTTAATCTTGAAATAATATAGTTTAAAACTAAAAAGCCATTGCTAAGTAGAGAAAATCACTATTTTCTCTAAAAATCTAGCATTTATGTTTTGAATAAATACTTGCTACGTATAGACGAGCTATACTTGTTGACAGCAAAATATATCAAGCATAGAAATATGCGAGATAAAATACATTAGTTTGAAAAAATGAAATAATAAGAGTAAGACCAAAGTATTTAATTGTTATAAATGAAATCAAAATGTACCAACAATTCCTATTTATTTCCTATAGATCTATCAAATCAACAATAGTAAGATGAGTGTCGGTTAAATGATTTAAAATTTTGTAACCCATACGAAAGGTAACAATCATAGATGAATACATTAATGTCTAGAAATTCGGATGAATAAAAGAATATGACTTAAATTGTCCCAAGTAAAATTTAACACTATAATATTTGTGACATTTTTTTCGCCCCTTTGTAAGCCCTACAACAGTACGTAATTTTATTGGATAATTAAACAACAACAATTATTATTATTATAGGCAATATTGTAATGACAGGGACGTACCATATAACTGTAATGTGCAATTACTAATCATATAGATACCTATACTATAGATATAAAATTGTAAAATTAGATTACTGTTTAAAGTTGTTGTGTGCTCCTATCGTAGCAATAAAATTAAAAATATGCAACCGTTACCCTTAATATTGTTAGTGTAGGTACATGTTAACGATTTTACTTCTTTTATTATATGCTGGGTTGCATAAACAATTCTTTAAACATCTAATGAATCGATTGTGAACTAAAGATCCCTTATACTGCTTTAGTGGCCCGCGATTGGTTTATTTGAGTTTGGTGATTAAATTAAATCATAAAATTAATCAATTTTTTATGCAACCTGGGTCTATTCGTATAGATAGATAAGTGTTTTCCGCAATTTGAAAGTTTGGATTTATTAGTTGTTTATCATATTATTATATTGTTATCAATTTAACTAATCGTAATTCGTTATTTGAACTTACTAAATTATATGACATTTTACTCATATTATTTTAAAATTTAAATAAGGGAATGTTGCGCATTGCAGGTAGGTACTCAATAATAAAACAATACTTTGATTTCGTTAATAAATTCCCACATGCTTCTCCGTTAGTTTTAAAATTTGATAATATTATATTCTTTATTTCGTGATAAATTATGTACAGACCAATTCTGCTTACTACTATCGTCATTAAAGACGAGCAAATTATAATTACAACCAATAATATCAAAAACGCGTACCAAATACCAAATTTGTTTATTACTACCTAATACTCGCCTCGATTGACGGCTGTTGATTTGTACCTATATCTCATAATTAACTCAAAGGAATAAGTAATTATTGTTATAATTATACATTATAATATTTGCTAATATTGGTAATACATTTTTACGTTTCAATGTATACTAGTTTATGTGACGTTTTATATTTTTAAAAGACATTTTGTAGAGTGTTTCTTAAACATTGTTTATCATATGGATTGTTGTAAGTAAATTTTTACAATTTATTATTATTATAATTATATTAATATATGAAAATCACAAATTTTTTTTTCTATGTTTGTATACCTACTACCTTGATTTACACGAAATAATTTAGATATGTACTTACATGGTTTATATTATATAATATTATGTCTCGTATATACAGTATACTAATTGTATAATGGTGTGGCTCGACCATAGATAAATATAACAACTAGATAGCCGTCATTATACTACAGTTGTGACCAATATTGAAATCGGCCGCCATTTACAAAACAGGCAATGTGTACATTTATTTATATACATATATATTTATCTATACATATATACTATGATAATATTATTTTGTAAACATTGCCTGCTTTGTAAATGGCGGCCGACTTCGATGACAAGAAGGAGACTGCTATCTAGTTGTTGTATCAATGAGATCGACGATGTGTAGATATTTTCTAGTGAGAATACTAAGGAAATTTTTAATTAATCAATATTCATTAACAATTATATACATCTATTGAACTATGTAGTAATTAAAAATACGTAGAACACGTCGTATAAAAAATAAAACAAGAACTGTTCACAGCAATGCAGTATATTAATAGTATATCAAATGCGTTAATTCATATTAATATAATATATCAAATTATACCAGGTTACTGGTTATGTTATATTTTATTTGATTAACATAATATATTATAAACAAATAGGTTGATACTATAATTATATATTACATTATTATTATCTAATTTATAACCAGTTGCCTGATTAGTTGAAAAAACAATGAACATAAAAGATGTACCTACGGTGATTGAAATTTGAAGGATCAAAAGTTATGTTTTAAATATCATGTCTTAAATCAATACACATAATAATTAATATTATATTAACCCTGTCGACTGTCACGACGTATATATTGTGTACTAGGTAGGTACTCAGCACCTATTCACATGAGGACCTATATCATAATATTAGCATACAAAACTAGGGGGCGCGATTAAGTGGCACACTGAGTTAGTCCCCAAATTCCTAATTACGCCACTGTCCAATGACGTATAGGAACAGGTGGGTATCCCTCGAAGAATTAATAATAATTTTTTCTTTTACACGAAAACCGCTATATTACTATAATTTTATGTTATCTACGAAATACCGTATCACTGTATCAGAAAATCATCATATCATAATGTATATTGTTTGCGTCCGAATTAATAATGTCATTTCCATTTAGTTATACATTTATGTATTTTATCCTTTATATTGATCTATTTAAGATAACCCAAAATAGATGGACTTGGGATATTTTGTAAATTAACACAACGAGAGTATATTGAATGAATGTTCTATTGGGGTCAGTTCATCTAACTAATTAAATGTGTCCAAAATAAGTAGGCTTTGATGAATCACGATAAATGTAATGAATACATTTTGTGAACGTGCCTATTGTTATACTTGTCAGCAACAGAAATGTATCGTATTTATATTATTATACTCGTACAATAGAAGCCTACAACAATAATTACAAATTAAATTAAACTCTACCCGAATATCTATTGTAACATTTGGTTTTAGATTAAATGTCATTTTTTATAATTTTTATATTAGAAATATTGTTAAAAAGTATTCCCGATCATATTATTTTAACGTTCTATAATAGTATTAACCATGTTCTATGTTTGTATACACGTGTTATAAATATAATAATTGATATGTAATATGTAATGCTCGACTTGGAATAATAAAAATAGGGACTAGGGGACATTTACTTTTAAAAAAGCTTCCTGGAAATTTTTTATATCTCGCTGTAATGTTTGAAGCCACACATCCAGTCTCACATTTTCGTTATATAAAAATTATTAATTGTATATAACTTTATAATTCAACATTTTAAAATATAACTACATTACTTTTGTAAATAATTAATTTAATTGTTTTTTTAGTTTAATTTAAACGTAAAATGTACATAATATTTGCCGACTACATAGTTACTATACCTATGTGCTTAATTTCACCTTTTTTTTTTCAATTCTGTAAATAAATCATTTTGGGTTCTTTTTTTTTTGTCAACCATTATACAGACATAAACTGTAATTATAAAATAACAAGTTTTAAACTTTCAAACCAATAACAAAATAAAAAAAGGTGGGCAAGTGGGTGTCGCTCTGCTGTACAGTAGGTTACAAGTGGGTCACTGTATAATGGATGGTATTAAATTTGAATTCAATGATATAATATCATTGTATAAGAAAAACGATTCTGAGCGGTGACGGTATGTCAGTCTATGTATAAGACATATTATATACATATCTATGGTATTAAACAAAAAATTGACCTATAATAGGTACCTATAATAAATTCCAAATTAATCATATCACAATATCCATTAGATACTTATAACACGTTATACATCAACAAACACCGTGATAGGTACTATCATAGATATATAATAGTACACTTTAGAAGTTTCAAGTACCCACGAATAATATTATTCAATCACAACAAAATAACTAAAATAGTTATTCTAGGTTTTTTAATATGTAATTTCGTCCAAATTTGAATTTAAAATGTCTGTAAAAAATAAGTATGTTCATATATTTTTTAGATTTTTTGGTTACAGTATGAACTATTTACGAGAACCTTTGTGTTGAATTTGCAATCCTTAGCTATAAAAACTGAACATTTTATAATTTATTAATTACAATGATTGATAATTTTCGAGATTTTGATAAATTTTGTCAAAATTTGATCTTTAAATGCTAATAAAAAAAAACTGTGCCTATGTATTTTTAATATTTTTCAACTGCTATTGTAACAATATATCAGGAGCCTTGTATTAAATTTTTACACTTTTTGGCCCAACAGATAAAACTTTATTGATATTTATAGAAAAAAAAACTAAAAAAAATTGAAAGCTGTAAATGTCCATAAACATCTCAAAAAGAGTCAAAATATTTTCAAAATTGTATGGTGTATAGAAAATGCTAATTTAAACATTGAGTGAAATTTTCATGTATCTACAGTTGTTCGTTTTTGAATTGCAACAAAATAAGGAAATCGCTACATGAGTAATCGAGTGAATATCCAATGTTGTAAGAATTTGAATTTCAAACGCTCATAAAAATTTAATTTGACTGTCCGGTAGAGATTTTTTTATTGATAAAGGTAGATAATCTTATAAGGAATCTTGTGTTTCATTTTCAAATCTTAGATTTAAAAAGAAAAATTTTTACGAATTCTTAACTCAAAATAATTTGCTAATTTTCGTGATTTTTCCATATTTTGTAAATGTTTGAACTTTAAATGCTTATAAAAAAAAATTGTGACTAATGATTTTTAATATTTTTCATCTGCCTTTAAAACAACATATTAGGAGCCTTCTATTAAATTTTCAAGCTTTCGCAACCAACAAATAAAATTTTATTGATATTTCTAGAAAAAAAACTAAAAAAAAATGAAAAATGAAAATGTCCCTAAACAGTTCAAAATAAATCAAAATATTTTGAAAATGTTATCGTGTATAGAAAATGCAAATATAAACAACCAGTGAAAATTTCATGTATCTACGGTCATTTGTTTTAAAGTTACACCAAAAACCAAATTCGATTTTTTGGAAAATCGATTTTGCGTAAAAATTCCCGTTTTTCCTTAATTTTTATGTTGTTTTTCCCGGCGCTTGTGAAAACTACTGGAAAATGTTTACTTTTGACCCCCCAAAGTACCAACTAGATTCACTTTCCTATCAGAAAAGGTACTATTGAAGAAAATCGAAGCACTTTTACTGTCCCAAAACGTGATGACAGACACAAAAATATAAAAATATAAAAATATAAAAATATAAAAACACACATCATTGTAAAACCAATACATTCATCGCTCCGCTCAGAATCTAAAAAATAAAATAAAAGAGGTTAGAGTGACTTACGTTAAGGTAAAATACAATTCAAAATAACGATCAATGGTAACTTAACACATATTCAATAGAACATGGATAATTATTAGTCAAGATTGCAGAAAGTATATTTAAGTATTATTATTTATTACCAAGGTGACTCCCTTGACAGCTGCTGGCTGGCGATATATTTTTAAATATTTATACTATTATTGATATAAAAATAAATTAGATACAAAATTAGTAGTATCGTGATTCCTGATACAGAATGATAAACAAAAAGTTCGATAACGTATATCATGCGATCTACTCAAAATTCAACAGTTGAGATATGATAAGACTTCTGAAAAGTTAGTTGAGGTACTGAGCCCTCCGTTTTCCCTAAATTTGAGCACTGCTATTAGGCGATTTGGAATAAATATTTATTTTTCTTACACAATCAATTTATTAATATTATTAGTAATATCCATACGTTGGATACAAATATACAGTGTGATAATATTATGTCAATATAATATTATATTGTTGAGTTTGTTTAGAAAAAGAATTCTTAAAACTTAAAACTAAAAATTTCAGGGATTCTAACTTATACAAATAAATTTCATTTTAATCTATACCTACCTACTCTATAATCACCTATATTTATTAATATGACTATAATACTATTAGGTAGATATTTAAAGAACCTGTGCTTATTTTTTTTGTGATCGTTAACTCAAAAAATACTGAGCTGATTTTTATGATGGTTTTTGCCATTCTTTAAAGAATCTGAAGATGGTATATTATATGGGTCAGTCATATCTACTGAAATTGGAAAAATGAACAGTAGAAATATATATTCGTGGCGCCATCTGTTCAGTTTTTCCCGTGACATTTAAAAAATAATTTGCTTGCAATAACCAATTCACCACAGGACATAAGCATGAAAAACTAGTCGTGTTCAAAATGTGCAGGTCATTTTTAATATGACAATTTATTCCTATAATATTGAGTAGGTATCGAGATGTATTACAGTAAAATACAAATACAATCAGTTGAGGAAAATAAAGTCGCAATTTTGTTATGTGACTTACTATGAATTAGTAAAATAAAATAATAAATGAAGAAAAATATTTATATACTTATGAAAAATCATAAAAACTTTGTCATCTAAAAACGAATATTGTAAAAACTATAAAGCATGGTTATTTATAATATTATGTATAAAAATTAAGGCTAAAGAAGCTTCTACCAATAATAATATACCCGACATAGAACTATTATCTCTTAAAAGCACAATCAGATGAGCCTTGTAAAGGAGAAAAAAAGCACACCAATTACTAAAATGGGAACTAGGGATCGAACAATAACGTACAAAACGAAAACAAACCATGTGGTCACGTATAAAAATAAGCCACACAAACAACACCCAAGTTCACTTAATGAAAAAAGAACCAACAACTTTGTGCGAATTCTGCAACACATCTTTAATATCTACAAAACACCTCCTCCTTGAATACCTATACTTAGCCAAAGAGAGAAAAATATTTCCATAGCCAACGAATCCTAATGATATTGTACCAATAAAAAATTAAATTTATTAATGCATTTCCTAAAACTAATATGTACAACTGTATTTAAATATTACACATATTTACACTATTACCTATAACTATTATTATTCTTATTACCAAATTGCATTTGCAATGTATGATTATAATGATGGATGGACATAATATTATAGTGTAAAATATAAAATGTAAATTGTTTTTGCCCGGCTAATGACTTCATTATTAAAGCCGTAATAAATATTAAAAAAAAAAAAACCAAGTGATTGTTTATTAGTGTGTGTGGGTATGTGTGTGATACTTATAGCCAAATCTAAGGAACATTTTTAAAATTAGTAAGTAAATGGATTAATGGAAGGGGGTCTGAAAGCACGGTGATGAAATACACATTTTTAAATCACTTGTAAAAAATGAGATCCTTAGCGCTAATTGACACACGTCTGATGTATAACTATCCCACGGAAGCTAACAAAAATTATTTTTTTTATGTTCATCTCATATTAATGACATATAATGGAATGTGCATTTGAATAATATAATTTTTTAATATTTGTAAATGTAGATTGTGCAGGCAAATAATTTTCGAAGTTAAACCCTTTTCTCTTTTATAAAAAAAACCACGAAGTTCTCAATATCAAAAGAAATATCTATTCATGAAATAGTAAACTAGCTTCATTAAAAAAGTAATGCGATAAATATTAAAATGTAATATAGTTTTTAATTTTAGTAATATTTTTCCGTATGGTGCCTGCCATAGTTTAGTCTAATTTATAAACCCTATTAAAATATTTTTTAAATAGAAGAACAGAATACACAAATTGTGACAATCCAAAATGTGCTATTGGCATTTTTGACAAAATTGAGTTATCCATGAAATCATATTGTAAAAATAGCTGGAAACCGATTGGTGTGATAAAAAAAAAGAAAAAAATGATTATTTTCGGTATAAATCACTATGTGAAAAATAACAATTAGACCAAAACGTACAATTTACAGCGATTAAATCTTACAATGTGCACATTCTCCAAAACGTACTATTGGCTGTACCATAGATATCATTATAAAAGTTAGAGCAAAATGAACTATTGACCATATTTTTTCCAAAAGTACTATTTCCACTGTACATCAAAACGCACTATTTTCCATGATAATATGCCAACAAGGTTTCATTAATCCAAAACGTACTATTTCCTAAGTTTATACTTGGCAATATTTAATATTTAATTTAAGTAAGTAGTGTTAATTAAATGATATTCAAAAGTTTGGGGAAAATTATCAACAATTAAAACTACATCATTTTGGTTATTATAAATAAAAAAATATTTTTCTTATCTATTTATTGATGGTAGCAAATCGTGTTTGAACTTGGTTTTCACTACCTACTGTAGTAAACTACGATTTGCTACCATCAATAAATAGATAAGAAGTTACTTCTAGTAACCCGTCGCTGTCACTAGATTGGTTACTCCACACTTCTGTAACGACGTCGTTGCACTAGATCGGAGGATGGTTGAAGTAATTGATTAAACACAATGTAGATAAATATAAATATATATATGTTTATTAAGCCAGAACTAATATAATTAATTTAAGTTATTAAATTTGTCGACAGAATAAATAATTCTGCCCCAGAATAGTTGTAATTTAAATTGTACATAATGTGGACGGCGATGCGGCTGTTTCTAGTCTGCGACCCACACAAATATTGAAAGCACAGGTAACTACTTCTGAAGTGTAACAGGGTCCCTATTTATATGAGACATGCCGGGATTTAGGAAAGGATGATTGACGTCATAGGAATGGCAGCAACCTCAGTGGCATGAAATAAAACGATGGCAGCGGAAGCAAACAATATAATATAACATAATATCAACGGCGGACGTGAACAATATTATAAGATTTAGCAATAGAATCGAACGTCTATGAAAGGCAGGTATATAAAAGAAGACATTGGTTGGGTTAGAATTGATGGATAACAAAAAAGTTCTTCAAGGTTGTTTTTATTGAATATATATAATATGGTAGGTACTTTATTAAGTGAATAAGTTTTGACAATTTATTCGTTCGAAACCGCTACCAAGATGAAGACATCAAATGTTTGTGTTCTCGTAATATCGGCGTTAGTGGTCCAGGAAAGTATTTTGAACTTCTACTCTATGGTAAAAATTTAATTTTATAATACTATGAATTATGAATTACACAGGTTTCTTCTGAGGAGGTTACTGAGCTCGATAAAATGGCAGTCACTTTGTTCCATTCTCTAGTTGATATTTTTGAAATACCATATAGAAAAATTGAAAACATTGTAAATCCAACAGAAGCTGGTTTAAAAAAAGAACCATTTTTAGAGGATCTTACAATGAAACTTAAACGGAAGAAGGAAGAAATTGAAAAGGTAATGATATTTTTTAAGTTATTACTTTACTATACAAGATACAACACTCAACAAAATAAAATACGACAGATAATTTTTTTAATTTTATTTATGATTAGGTATATATATTTTAAAGGGTTACTCTAAATACATGTGCTCTTTGTTCTTTGCGTTTTTTAGAAAATCGATATCATCTAAAATTATTTGTGAAAACAAAATATTTTGGGAAAGATTTCCATGAGAAATTAAAATGTTCTATGTATAGTCATGCCAATTTTAATACGTGGAGTATAGTTTTTCAAATGAAACTTATTGTTTAATATTACAATTATTTACTATGTGAGAAATAGTACATGATTGATTTATTTCTAATAAATTTAATATTAAGATCATCGAAAATCTTTCTATACCTTCATATATTCTTTGTATTATTCTTCTATTCTTACCTACAACATAATATGTTATATTAAATAATTGTGATTTTTCACAAAGTTAAAATTTATATTTGTTGAAATTTGAACTGAAAAATATATATTTTACCCTAATTTATGAGTATAAAATATGTAATTATAATATTTAACATATTTAGGTACCTACTTATATGATATGTAAAATTGTAAAAAAAAATATATAATACCTTGCTATGTTTTTAACCGTCATCATTTTTTTCCAACTCATTATTTTAAAGTTTATATTTATAAATTATTGTTATATACTTGTATGTGTGTTATTTAAAAATAATGTTAGATTATGTACTTGAGAGAAAATTTAATTTAATTTAAAAGTGTTTCATCATGCCTATAGATAGTCATTCTTAAAAGTCTATAATATAATACATAAAAAAATTTACTATAGCCTTAGACAGTACTATTTTACATGACTTAAGTTTAAAATAATAAAATTATTAACTATGACGTATGAACATTGAACAAATATAGTAGAAGATAACTAACAGATAAATAAATATTAAAACATTGTCATATATATATATTAACTAATATTTTAAGACTTACATGGAATCGCTTACACCGGAAATTAGAGAATTGGAGAAGAAAAGATTAAGCGAATATGTCAATACTTCGCAAAAAATAGTTAAATCAATTCAAGATTCTAATAAAATGGCCCGGAGTATGATTAATGCATACTTCACCAACCTACCAAAAAATGTCCAGAGCAAATTAATTGGGTTGGGGCAAGACCTAAATAATATTTTACACAAATTAAAGGTAAATTTAAAAAAAAAGATCGTGAAGTTTTAAATATTTAATAATATATATAGGTAGTTGAATAATAATGCATACAATTGTTCTAACAGGAATTGTCCAAAAATGGTTCTTCAGAAGCAAAAAATAAATAACTTTACGTAATCAAAAGTATTTGTTAAAATCAGAGGATTATGGAGTCAATATTATAAAATCATTATAAAATGACAAATGATCAGTAGTGATTCATATTTTTGTCATTGTTTTATTTATTACAATTATTTATCTACCAACATGTATTTTAATCTAATATTCTTCATTATTAAACCAAAAAAACTAATATTATATGTATGACGTATGTATATTGTTAATATATATTTATAAGTTAATAAATAATAACTGACATACCTAACTTAATATCTTATGTATTTTTTTTCAAAAATTAACAACATATTATATTATAATTTTTATTTTTAATACAGTGAAACTTTATTCTTTTTTGAATTAGTTTAAAGTTTAAACTAAAGCCTTTAAACCTTCGTCAATTGTACTCAATTTATATATGAACATTATTTACTTTTACATTTATATACCTAATATTTTAACGTTTTATATTGGTACAATTGATATTTTTTTACAATCGTACTTAATCTTAAACGACATTATTATTATACCTATGAAGTATAGTAAGTTTTATAAAATTAGCATTTTGAATATTTACTATTTAGAAACTCAAAAAGAATTTATACCGAAATGCATAGGATGATTAAGAAATTATTCAAAATACACTTTGAATTTTTTGTTTTTTTTTTTTTTTAATGATATTATTATATTTAAATACAATAAAAAAAGGACAGTGCTATAATTATTTTGTATAAGTTTTAATTATAATTTTTAAGATTTTACTCCATTTATATTTTATTATTTTTACTAAAGTACTCTTTTGTGTAACAATGTAACATAAAATGTAACTTATTACCTATATTAAATAAATATTTCTAATAACCTTATACATATAAAATAAATACTATAATAAGTAAAATTTTGTTCAAGCTAAATGAGTTTTCATAAACTAAAAAATGATTTTTGGTAATAGTACGTTTTGGAAAAAAATTACCATTAACTAATTTATTCAAAGTGTACTATTGGTAGGAATAAGTGCGTTTTGACGTAAGTTTATCTTTAATATAGTTGTTTTATTGGCTTTATAAGAATTAAAAAAATTGGTCTACTCCATAGGCAACCATAAAATATTTTACTGGATTTATTAATGGTTCAATATGTAAATTCATAATGTACGACATACTAGAGCTTCAAAACATAAAATTGGCCATACTGAAAAATATGAAAAATGCCAATAGTACGTTTTTGATTGTCGTCCATGAAGAGTGTTCTGCACTCATTCGGATTCATACAAACTGGTGTATGAAAACGTTGGTCAACAATTTATCGTAAATTTCAAATCATTGCATTGAAGAAAAATCGTGTGGATAAAGAGTTAAATAGCATGTTAATTAAATATTAAACAATCATAAAAATATTATATATTTCAAAAATGTGTTTAAGATGTCCATAATTTGTTAATTTATTATCCGTACACTTTCTTAAACAAGAACCTAGCATAATCTTCCATTACCTAAACGACGTTCCAGTCAATCTGACTTCAATTACTCTTTCTCATGTTAAATTACTAATGAAAATCTATATAAAGACTTAACCAATTAACTAAATCACACTACCCTAATTTTCATTATAATCTAAGCAAAGCATCCATTCTAATCCTTTATTTAAACAAGAATCCTCAGCCTCACTTACTGATATTGCACTGATAAAGCTCAAAAGAAAATTACCTTAATATATTTTATAAATCTGCTTTTAAATTGAAAACTTTATTAATTTCCCAATGTGTGACATTGCTAAGTTTCTTCCCATAAATGCTATATTTACAAGAATTATACTTTTTTTTTGTATCATGCTTACTTAATACTATGCATGTTGTATAGATTGTAAAATAAAATTCTTTAAAAAAAAACAAACCCATTTAAGTATAATATCACTTTTTACAATAAACTGTCAAATTATTATTTTACAAAAGTGGCTAAATATAGTGACTGAAGCCCGAATAACGCATCAATATGTTTTTAAATAACAAGGAAATAATTATATATATATATTATATGAATAAGGTGAACGTGATGAAAAATAAAACAAGTTTAATGTGCTAAGTATTTTATTTGTTTTTTTTCGTAAAGAGAACTTGATTCCTTCTGATTTTTAATGAATATCGTAATAATGCTAACACAGTGTCTTAAATAATATTAAATTGAGTAGTTTGGATCTTAGTTGTATTTACTTTCTATCATACCATATGCCCTTTCGGCGACCATGATACAAGGCACATGACTGTAAGCACTAGTAATCATTGGCAAAACAGATCGACCTACTGCTCGCAAATTAGAAATACCAATCACGTTCAGCTCACTGTCAACAACAGCATCCGTGTCAGTTTCTAATCCCATACGACATGATCCAGCAGTACTTGATGTTGTAGACACCATGTATTTTAATAAGCACTCCCAGTGCTCATTGGTCTTTTTAGTGTATTTTGCACATCCATCTAGGTCAATATCTTCTAACTTCGCGTTTACTAATTTCATTCCATCAGATTTTTCAATTTTGGAGAGTAATTTGATGGCTTCGATAAAACTTTTTACATCGTGTTTCTCCGTCAACATATTGCCAACAATAATCGGACTGTCCAATGGGTTCTTACTTCTTAAAAGAATTTTGCTGGTACTTTTCGTGTTTATTAAAGCTATTGTAAAAATAGAAATAGCACGTTCGTAATTCAATTTAGCATACACTGTTAACAAATTATCACTAAATCCAAACATTGATTTTAGTTGGCATAACTTTGAATAAGAGTTTTTGGGAATGTAAAATTGATGAACTTCAATATCAGCGAATGAAGATCCAGACATACCAGTGTTTAAGAATCCACCAAAGCTCATACCGTTTGGTCTACTTAAGGGTCCTGAATATCTACCCAAGTATTTGAAGGCAATTTCTTCATCTGTCTGGTTACAAACAACTGATTTGTCGTAGGAGATAACAAAGCCAGTAAATACTGGAGTAATTAGGAAGTTCTGACCTACTTTTAAGTCTTTGACCACTGGAACTTCCATTTCAGACAAATGCTTTTTAGGCCCAATACCTGAGGCCAACAATATCTGAGCAGAACCAACAGCCCCAGCACAAAGTAAGACTTCTAATTTAGCTTTTATTGTTAGAATTTGACCGAATTTCGTCTGTACTTCAACTCCGGTCGCCTTCATTTCTGTTTTGTTTACTATAATTTTTGTAACTCTGGAATATTTCATAACTTTTAAGTTTTCACGGCCGAAAATTGGGCTTAGATATGCCTTAGCGGTGTTAATAGATCTACCGTTCTTTATTATTCCTTGCATTGAAACAAATCCAACTTCAATATCTTTTTCGTTGATGTCACTTTCTTTTTTACAACCAATATGTTCAAAACCAGAACATACGATTTTTTCTAAAACGCTTACTTCAGTTTTTCGGAATTTGCTTACAGGGATAAGTCCACATTTTCCATAAATAGTAGTGTTTGTTTCAGTTTTAGTAATTGAACGAATTCTTTCGACCTTTTTGAAGTAGGTCTCCGTTGTATTGTAAGACCAATTCTTTAAGCCTTTTTTAACAAGTGAGTTATATAGTTGTTCACTTCCTCTAACATAAAGTTGAGCACTCGTGGTGCTGCTTCCTCCTAAGCATTTTCCTTTATGTATTTTCATATTACCTCCAATTCCAAATCCAGTCGTACTATCTGGTTCTATTTTGAACTGCCAGTCTGCAACACTATTTAGTGACCTGTCCCATAAACTAGGAATTTGCGTTACAGGGAAGGGGTCCCCGCCTGCTTCAATTAATAATACTTTCCATTTTATATTTTCAGATAGCTTGTTTGCTAGAACGCATCCTGCATTACCACCACCGACAATGATAAAATCAAACTCTTCATCGTTTATGACATAACGCGTGGAGTCTTGGGGATATATGCTATCATCCATGAGTTTATAACGTTGATAATCCAATTGACTCAAAACTTCTCCTATTATACCAACAGAAGTCATACCACTATCAAATCTGAACTTCCGGAATGTGTTCAAATATTCATACACCGATACTTCGTCTTCTGATGTTTCTTCCTCTTCACTGTCATCATTTTCACTGTCGGTATCATCAGGTTCGTCATTGTCATCGTCTTTATCATCAGGTTTGTCATTGTCATCGTCTTTATTCTCAGCTTTGTCATCTTCATCTTCAGTATTCTCAGTTTTGTCATTGTCATCGTCTTTATTCTCTTCTTTAACATTTTCGTCGTCTTTATTTTCTGCTTTATCATTTTCGTCGTCTTTATTCTCGGCTTCATCATTTTCGTCGTCTTTATTCTCTGCTTTATCATTTACATCGTCGTTATCCTCAGTTGGTTCATTGTCATCGTTTTTATTATCTGCTTTATCATTTTCATCGTCGTTATCCTCAGTTTTATCATTTTCATTTTCTTTATCATTAGTTTCATCATTTTCATCGTCTTTATCCTTTACGATTTGTTTACCAATTGAGTTTGTCTTATTATTTTCGTCCTCATTTGGGTCTTCAGAAGATTTTGATTCATCTGATTTATTACAATCTAGTCTATTAGATTTTATACTATCGTTTTTAGTGCTACCTTTTTGAATAAGTCTGGACTTAATTTTATGTAGTTGATTAATTTTATAACTATTAATTCTATTATTTATTTTATTATTATTATTTGATGTAAATTGATTAAATCGTCCAGAAGTCTTAACATTTCTATAATTATTTGTGATACCTTCACTATCATCTAAAATATTCTTTGATGTTTTAAGTTGATTGATTTTATGTTGCAACAAATAAGTTCTTTTTAAGTTAGACAATCTACCCATAGTTTGTTTATAATTTGTATGATGCATATTATTGTTCATATTATTACGTACTGATGTGTATTTACTGAAATGTTGTGAATTTCCATTTATACTTTTTAAACCATCTGAGCTTGCGACATTCTGTGTATTACTGCTTAAATAATATCCATTTCCATTGTTTTGTA